GTAAGCGCAGGTCCATGATATTGGGTTTGCCACCGCCAGCGCGCGCAGCATGGTGGACGTGCTTCGGGGTAGGCTCGCGAGCGTGAGACGGTCATCACGATATGTACACGGTGCTGGGGCGACGGCCCGCATGCCGTAGCGTCCACGTTATATGTATACATATGGTTTAGCCTATGTCTATATGCATATGGTGTCCCGACATGCTTCAGCCTTGGTCACACGACAGAGTTTCGAGCAACAGGGAAGTACCGAAACATAAGGGTTTCCACGAGTCGGGCCCTGGGAGGCGAGACTTGGCCGACGCTGCTTCGAGACTCCTCTGGGTGCTGGAAGTGGTTTCTGGGAGGTGGCCCTGAAGTACGATGGAAGCAAGACACACACTTACACATACACGTATGTATACATACATATGTGTATATATATATACACACAGTTGTTGCAAGTTGACTCGATAGGGACCCCCCCAGCCTGCGGGCGCCGAGTCCGCAACCATCAGGGACGCTTCTTCGCTGCCCTCCTGGTTCGGTTCCCAGCTGCGGCCCAGAGAGGCCAGGGGGGTGCCCAAAACGGGACACGAGGGCTCGATTCGGCCCCCGAGACGGTCCAGGAGCGCTCCAAGACGCCCAAGACGGCCCAAGAGGCTCCAAGGAAGCCCAACGAGGGTTCCAAGAGAACCGCCGAGAGGGCCCACAGATTGACATGACAGATCATTGATTGTCCTTATGTTATGCACGTTTTTCGCGTTCTCGCGTCATGGGCTTCCGACGCTCCAGGATTGCCCCAGGGGCCTCCAAGACAGACACAAGACGGCCCGAGAGGCCCCCAAGAGGGCCCCGAGACGGTCCAAGAGGGCCCCAAAATGACCCCAGAGGCACCCAAGGTTGCCCAAGAGGGCCCCACGATGGCCCCGGGGCCCAAGAGGGGGAGTACTAGCCGACAATTCGAGGCTTCCGCCCCAAGATGCCTCCAAGAAAGCTCGAAGAGGCAAACAAACATTGATGTTCCCTAGGTGTTTGAATGACTGTGGCGTTCCCGCTTGCTCCGCTTTCCGACGCTGCATGACGCCGCAAGAGGCCCCGAGGATCGCCCCAAGACGGCCCAATAGGCTTCGAAAGAGCCCAAGACGGCCCAAAGACGGCTCGAAAATGGCCGACGAGATGTCCAAGATTGCCCGAGAGGGCGCCAACCGCGGCCAAGGATTGGGAACGTGAACCGAGAACCCGAGATCTTCGCACCACCCTCGTTACCACTATGGCTCAAGCATTGTGGCTGGCCCTTGTAGTGCAACCCGCATACATCACCACCTAGTGTATATCACACACGCAGGCAATCTCCTCTTGCGCCGTTCCGTTGGATGGCAGTCCAGCACGCCTGACCTTGCGCTGGGTGGCGCCGCTTCTCTGCAGCCTGTCCGCCGCGACCCATCAGGGCAAGAGCAGCACGTGCGCGGATTACGCTGGGAAGTACCAAGAGGGCCCAAGACGGTCCCAAGAAGCCCCGAAGCCGCCCAAGATGCCCTCAAGACGGCCGACGAGGACTCCAACACCCTCCAGGACGGACTCAAGAGGCTCCCCAAGATGTCCCTGGGAGGCATACGTCATTTGTCTATACGACCTCCCTTCGGGTGATAAGGTGGTTGTGGGGAGGGGGGGAGAGGGGGGGAACCAACATCTGACTCAATCGATCTTACTATCGATTTCACTCAACGGCGCAACACGGGACACCATGGGACACCCGGGACACCACTGGACACTTGTCGATCTCATGATCGATCTCATTATCGATCTCACCCAACGGGACACCACGGGACACCACGGGACACCGCGGGACACCGCGGGACAGCTCTCGATTTCAGTATCGGTCTCACTATCAATCTCACTATCGATCTCATTGTCGATCTCACTATCGATCCCACTCAACGGGACACCACGGGACACCTGTCGATCTCACTATCGATCTCGCTATCGAATTCACTTTTTGGGACACCACGGGACACCTCGGGGCACCACATCGATCCCAGTATCGTTCTCACTATCGATCTCACTATCGATCTCACTGTCGATCTCACTATCGATCTCACTTCACGGGACACCACGGGACTCCACGAGACTTCTGTCGATCTCACTATCGATTTCACTTTTTGGGACACCACAGGACACCTGGAGGCACCACATCGATCTCACTCAACTGGTCACCGCGGGACACCACGGGACACCACGGGAATCCGCGGGACACCGCGAGCCACCGCCGGACGGACGGACGGACGGGCGGGCGGGGGAGAATCATTTGGCGTGTCTTCGCCCTAGCAACGGCGGACACCACGGGACACCGCGGGACACCTCGAGTCACCGCCAGACGGGCGGGCGGAGGATAATAATTTGTCTTGACTTCGCCCTAGCAACGGCGGGTTCGTTCCTCTCGCGCGCCCACGCAGCTTCACCCCGCCCGTACGCACGACACGAACGAAACGAAACGATTTCCCGGTTGGGGGTCTCCGTTCCACTGCGATCTCACCCCCCAACCTCCGATTCTCTTGCACAGGGTTTCTAGAGCCACGTCCACTTTACTTTGGCGTCGCACCGCCCCCCCCGCCCCGCCCCCCCCGCCCCGTGACACCGCTCCCCGTCCAGTGCTCCGCCCCGACCACTTCATTTCGGCGTCGCACCCCCGTCCAGTGCCGTTTCTACCCCGGGGGCCCCGCCCCCCTCCGCCTCGACCACTTTATTCCGGCGTCGCACCGCCCCCACCGTTCCGCCCGTGCCCCCTCCCGAGAGGTGTCGACGACTCGTAAGAGTGACCGTTCGCCGGAGTGTGCGCGCCCATTGGGGCACCCCTATCGTCGCGCGCGGTACGATAGCAGCGGCTTTCGCGCACGGGTTTGACCCCCCCCGCGCCCCCCCCCCCCCCCCCCCCCCCCC